ACAACACCAAATGAGACAAAATTTTAGAAAGTTTAGATGATGGCGTAAAATTATGAAGGGATATTGATAGACTAAGTGGCAAAATTGTGGCAAATGGACAATCCACATGGACAAGGAGAACCACGACTTCGACTGGAGACAACACCAAGATCCTGGGACAGGCTAAGCAGAGACAAGCAAGAGAATTCCTGGAAGCATGGCACTCCACGAAGCATGCCATTAATAAACACATTGAACTCAACCCCATATACATCCCACTACGGAGGAAACCTGGAAGTGAGGCAATCCATCGCAACGGACCCCAGAGTTTTAAAAACCAGGCGGGAAAACACAACCGACGCTTCATCAGAGGCTGCACTGAGGATGTTACCAAGCACGGTAACGAAACGTCTGTGGAACAACAAACCAGCTCGGCGAGCCAACCAACCTCAACACCCACAACCCAAGTCATCGTCGTCGTCGTCGTCATCATCATCACCATCACTGTAAATCATCTCTGCTTCATAACAGTACGAAAAGGTGCTTAGAACACGGGCCTCAAATTAATACCTTAAGTTGTTTCCTGTTCACATTTTGTGACTCTAATAAACGTGGCAGCTGGTTTCCTAATGTCTGCATCTGAAAGTCATAGGGATGCACAGCATAGAAACGGACCCTTCAGTCCAACTCATCTATGCAGACTAGATATCCTAAATAAATCTAGTCCCATTTGTCAGCATTTAGCCCATATCCTTCTAAACCCTTCCTATTTCAGATACCCATTCAGGGGTTTTTTAAATGTTCAAATTGTACCAACCTCCGCCAATTCCTTGGTTAGCTCATTCCATGCACGCACGCACCACCCTCTGTGAAACAGTTGCCCATTAGATCCCTTTTTAAATCTTCCCCCTCACCTTAAACCTATGCCCTTTACTTTTGGATTCCCCCACCCTGGGTAAAAGTCCTTGTCTATTTACTCTATCCATCTCCTTTATGATTTTATGAACTTCTATAAGTTCAGCCCTCAGTCTCCGACATTCCAGGGAAAATAGCCCCAGCCTATTCAGCCTCTCCCAATAGCTCAAACCCTCCAACCCTGCATTGAGTCCACTTCACATTCAGATTGTCTGACAGTGTAGAAGAATTTGCAAGTCACGTGTCGTGTTGAGATTCTTGATTGAGTAGTGACAGCTTGTCCTATGACCAGAGCTTTCTTCATGTTTATAATAAGGGTAAACAAGTTTGAGGCATTTGTCACAACCAAACCATGTGTGTTGTCAGACCGGTCTGTGAATTCACATCGCTCATTTAACCCTCTGTTAGTTTTATTTGAGGGCTGCAATTTAAAAATGATAATCACAAACATAATATCTATTAGATTTTATTTATTAGCTAAAAACTGATGGAGTTAAAACTAGAGATGAATAAAAGATGCATATAAATATGAAAGCAAGATCAATTCTACTACCTCTTGCATGCTTGTCACTTACTTGATCTGTTTTCGAAGTGAAGGAATATAAATTTGAAGTCCAAATTCAGCAGCTGTGATTGGTTCTGTATTGATCTGTGCACAAATGCGGGACTGAAGCAAAATGGCTGCGGAAAGCTTCTGAACCCCTCTCTGTAACCCCCAACCCTTGAAACCCTCTGCTGCACCCTCCCCTGACAGCCTGATGGGTGGAAGATAGAGTTTGTGTGTCACATTACTTTTTCAGCAAGTGTACAACTAAGAGTATCATTTTGATAAATGTGAGCCTCAGTATTACGGGCATGTTGCAAACCAAATTAAATCAAGAAAATGATGGGAGAGTTGTGCATTGAATTCGTCAGGAAAGTTATATTTCAGGATTTTGCTGAGGAAATGGAAAGTGAATTGGTGTGATAATTGGAAAAGGTAGAGTGTGCATAAGGAATTATTGCCAGAATAGGTTGTAATTGTAGCAATTTCTATAAACTGAGGGAGAGGAGCAAGGGGAAAGTTAATAGTATTGGCAATTTACTGGTCTGAGGAGGTTTAATAATTTTTGAGCTGTCACAATCCCAACAGGAAGCCACAAGTTGTCTGATTCTCAAAGGGTGCAGTGAAGTTAAGGAGATCAACATTGGCCTATGTGCAGAGTGGAGACACTGGGGGTGTGTGTGTGTGTGTGTGTGGAATGTGCGGGGTAGAAGTTGTTGTGTCCTGATATTGTCACCGGACTAGTAATTCAAATCCCAAGGTTCTGGGGATGTGCGTTTGAATTCAATAAAAAATTCTGGAATTTTTTAAAGTTAGCCAAATGGCGATTGGTTAATTTTATTTATAGTTACACAAAGAGATTGAGAGGCCGGGCAGCTAAGTGGATTGCATCAAGATTCTAAGCACAAAATTGTATCAACTCTTAATATCTGGTATCTAGAGAAATCAGGGGACAGTTCACAAAAGAAACAATTTTCATGGAAGGCAGAGTTTTGGATTTCCTTTGCTGTCTTGGATTACCCTGGAGTAATTGGATGATTTTGACTTCACAACAGCAATTATTTTCTCAGTTCGTTGAGCCAAATCCCAGGATGGCTGATTAGGCAAGTCATGTGGGGTTGAGCTTACTTTCACAGAGGTAGGTTAACAATTTTGATTTAGTTCATGGAAATTGGATTAAATCAAATCTCCGCAGTTGGTCAAAGTAATCACTATTATTCAAAATGCTTTATGTGTACTTGCCATTTGAAGTTTCAGTTATGCCTTTGATATTCTTTTCCTTGCCTTAACAAAGGCATAACCGACCAATTTCCACACATTAAATAGCAATACCCAGGGGTATAACGAGAGACCATTTCTCTAATCTAAACTGGATATTTCATCTTTAACATGCATTGTTTATGTGCAATTTTTCAATCACTTGCAAGCAGATTGTGAGAGAGCTGATGAGCTGCATATGAAATAGGAACATTAGAACAAAAGAATTCAGTTCTTCAAGCCTGCCATACCATTCAAATAAGATCATGAAATGATCTTTTTGTGTTTCCAATGCTTTATTCCCAACTACCCCTGATTATCCTTGATTCATGTGCCGAACAAAATTCCATCCACATCTGTCTTAAAAGAAACTCAAATACCTCCTCTCTACTTGCCTTGCGGCAGAATGTTCCAATGTTGCACGATCTTCAGGAAAAAACTCATCTGTCTGTATCACGTAAATCAAGTTAATGCATAAAGTGATAGTCAAATGCACGTATTTAGCTGAATCTTGCTTTTCTCACCCAAACCAAGAAACCATTTTTTATAATTAAGTAACTTAGCTTTGGATATTTAAACAAAAAGGAGAATTTGTTTTTAACTTGAAAATTTGATCTTTTTTTTAAGCTTCCAATGACCTGAATTGCACTTCTAGTTACTTGTTTAAAACCTAGCTGCCACATATTAATAAAAATGACAATTGGTCAGTTTCTACGTGGAGGCTGAACCATAAACCAAGATTTACAACTGGAGATGTAAGTTGCAAATCAACATTTATTGATTCAGTTGATTTTGAGAAAGTTAATTAACATAGCTAAGATTTTGTTGACGTGCACTGTCAGAAACCATGCACATTTCCATTTTAATTTCTGAAGAGTCAGGAATAATTTCATCTTCACCATAAGAAATCAAGAAGAAAAAAAGTACCTGCTTTTTGAAAGAAAAAGGGCAAAATAGCTTAAAAAAAATCTTCTTGCTTTTGATGTAATTCCTAATCAAAGTTACAGATCCACTCTTTTTCAGGTACAGATACATTTAATGTAGCTGAACTTCGAAACTTGTATCTTAACATACATGTTACTATTTATTTTCAAAGCAACAGAAATTTGAAGTCTTCAAATTAGCTTGTATTTTGATTCTGGTGTATTATTGCTAGGTACTGTAGGTCATCAATCAAGAAACAGATTTCAGATCATTACAGTGTTTCATGCCTCTTCAGCAACATCATATGAACATGAACAATGAGGAAATGAGTGTTTCCTAATTGCTTGTTTACTCCGTTTCACTTACCTTGGCCTAGCTGCTGAAGTGACTAAAATATTTATGGAATTTTATTACCATTTGCAGACTCATTGATGCATTGCTGATTGCCCATAGCTTGCATGGTCACCTTCTTCCATATTTCTTGAATAACATACTTTGTTTTGGCTTTCTGCTTCATCCTCCAAGCAACTCTGTGGATAGTTTCACATTCATGGAAGGCAACAACAATTTTGGTCCTGACCATAGCAATTGTCCCTGATGCTAGTTCACCTTCTACCATCTCACTCTGTCCCTGTCTCTTTAAAAAAGAGAGTGCTGCATAACAAAGGACAAGAAGGCAGCTTCTTAACTGCTGCAGTTAAACCACATCGCTCTCGATCTCAACAGTGGAGATCATTCATCAGATATATTCTTAAGTTAAACTCCCCCAAAGCATATGAAATGAGCAAATCATGGCTTACAAATGTTTCAACTTGTCATGTTTTCAGCTGCCCAAGGAAAGTCCAGCCCAGCTGTTCCCTCCTTTTAATGTTCATTTAGTGGCCTTTCCTGCTTCTATCAATAGTTTATTCCTTACACAAATTGCAGCTAAAACTGTCCACAAGTTAAATTAAGTATGTAATTTCACTGAATCTTTCAATATTCATTTTCAAGCCAGAACATAAAATCTGGGTTGATTGTTTTAATGCCCTAATGAAAGTTGCCAAATGTAAGAAATACTTAATGTGTTGAAAGCATCGTTGTTACATCATCATCATCATAAGCATCATCATGGACCAGACCAAGTTTATTACTTACAAATACATTAAATTTCTTAGCGATACTTTTACAAACTTCAGCTTGATAGCTGATCAAAAGAAATCGCTGTAAACATGATACATTTTAAGCAAAAAAAACTAACATGGTATTAGCAATGAATGATATATACTTCCACTCTGCAGTTTACCTCATATCTGTAATGCAGTTTTTTTTTTCCACAGTTGAATGTATCATCTAACACTGCCATGCCACATATTCTTTACTCTTCTTAGAAGTATCCTACCTGTCACCATCCCTCAGCCTTTTGAACTGAGTTATAAACAGACACATGAGGGTGGGTCCCACTCTTGTACCAGGAATTACATCTTCAACCATCAGTGCTGGCCAAAGATCAATGTTCTGTGGTATGCCGTACAACCTGAAATAATATGAAATAATGATATTGACTAGTTCATAACTAGGTAATGTTTCATACAATGTTTTAAATGGTTAAAAGCCTTGCATGTTATTCAGGCCAGTTGTGTTCTACTTTGCAGGGTCATTAGACCCCAGTTCAAGGTATCGGACATTGAATGAGCAAAAATGAATAATTAGCATCAGGAAGCAGCAATTGGCTGAAGTAAAGACTTGGATGTTGAGTTACCCGTTAAACCTGTGAAAATAAAGTCAAATAAATCAATAGCAGTTAAGTATGTAGCTGATGATGGATTTCACCAGCTATACAATACCTTGCACAACCATCTTCGTCCTATTCCAACACTGCAGATCCAAATTTAACAAACCATTTGCAGAATAATACCTAATATGTTGCAATGAAGGCAATTTGCTTTTTTTCAGAATTGCTAATTCTGAACTCGTTTCTTGCAAATCTGACCAATATAATCATATTCTGTCATTGATTTGAGCTGCCACCTTGAATTTTTTTTCAGTAAAAATACATAAATGTAAGCAACAGTTATTAAATTATGGTATTCTTCTCTTCGCTATAAACATACCAAACACACACAAGCATAGGAAAACAATCAGGGATTTTTTTAAAATGTGAAGACCAAAAACAAGTGTTAACTAGGAAACTAAGCATATGCATCTAATTCCTACCATCTGCTGTAGCCTGACTACAAGTCATTGAATAATACATTACATCCTGTCGAAGTAGGAGTGATTGTTAGTTGTTTTGGGATATGGACTCTTAAAAGTACGTTTAGACCCTATCACAACATCTCCCTTCTTTTTAGAGTTAAGTGTTTACTTTAAAAGAAATAGACAAATTTTAATTTTTTTTTTAATCATTTAATAGGTTGTTGTGGGAGAGGAGGCAGGAAATCGAAGGGGCTCTGACACAAATTTTTCATTCCTGTCTGGCCATGGAAGACATGTCAGAGGACTGGAAGATGGCTAGTGTGGTTCCACTTTATATGAAGGGTGGTAGATGAACCAGGAAATTACAGACTGGTGAGTCTCATGTCAGTGGTAGGGAAACTATTAAAGAAAATTCTGGAGTAGTGAATTAATACCAACTTGGAAAGACATGGATTAATTAGGGATAGTTAGCATGGCTTTGTTAGAGGAAGATCATGCCTAACAAATTTGTTAGAATTTTTTTTCAAAAATGTGATCAGTTGTGTGGATGAGGGAAGTTCAGTTGCAGTTTATATGGATTTTACCAAAGCTTTTGACAAGGTCCCACATGGGACACTGGCTGAGAAGGTTAAAGCACATGGAATTCAGGGACAGTTGGTGAGATGGATCAGAAACTGGCTTAGTGGTAGAAGGCTGTTTGTGACTGTAGGCTGGTGTCCAGTGGTGTACCACAAGGGATCAGTGCTGGGTGCTTTATTTTAATACATAAATGATACAGATGAAAATGTGGCAGGAATGTTAAGCAAAGAAGATGTTTGTAGGTTTCATGAAGATCCAGATGGGTTGGTCAGACGAGCAGACCAGTGATGCACTTTGGAAGAAAAAACAAGATGAGGGAGTATTTAATGAATAGCAGGACGCTGGGTAGCTGAGAGGGACAGAAGAATCTTGGGGTAATTATTCACAGATCGCTGAAGTCAGCAGAGCATGTGAATATGACAGTTAAGAAGGCATATGGGAGACTTGGTTTCATCGGCATGGCACATGGTATAACAGCAAGGAGGTGATGTTGGAGTTGTACAGCGCGTTGGTCAGGCCACAACTAGAGTACTGTGTGTAGTTCTGGTCACATCACTACAGGAAGGTTGTGATAGCAATATAGGAATTGCAAATAAAGTTCATCAGGATGTTGCCTGGCATGGAGAAACTGAGCAGTAAGGGCAGACTAGACAGGCTTAGATTTGTTTTCTGTAGAGCAGAGAAGACTGAGGGGGGACATGATTGAGGTGTGTAAGATTGAGGGATGTGGACAGGGTGAATAGACAGCAGCTGTTCCCTTTGGTTGATAAGCCAATTACGAGAGGGTTCAGTTTTAAGGTAAGGGGCAGGAGATTCAGAGGGGATTTGGCGGGGCAGTGGAGGGGGGGAGAAATCTTTTTCACTCAGCTGGTGGTGGGAATTTGGAATGCACTGCTTGGGAAGGTAGTGGATACCAGAAACTTTGACCTTCAAAAGATATTTGGATGAGCACTTCAAATATCATCATATTCAAGAACATGGGATAAGTTGGGATTAGTGCACCTTCAGTAGTAGTTATGTCGGTGCAGACTTGATGGGCCGAAGGGCCCTTTCTGCACTGTATAAATCTATATTGTATCTGTATAAATCATTTAAGAAAATAATAAATTTACAAGTCTCTGAAATATAACAGTGGTTTACTTATCCAACCAAACTTAGTTACTGTGATCTTTACTGGAGGCTGCTGTATATTTTCACAATGCTTGTTAGGGGATTTTGTATTGCAAGGAGTATCAATGAATGATGACTGGAATGGTTTGTTCACACTTGTTGACCAAATACTGATTCTGTGTTGATTCTGCTGTGGGATTAAGTTTGCTAGGTTGGAATATGGTGCAGAGTCAAGTGCGTTGTACCTTATCCCAGTGGTGGTACTCATGACCTATGGTTCTCATCATTGTCTTGATGATACCATGACTGAATACCGAGGACATGTTGTTTGATAGCAGTGGGCTGTCCATAAAATAGACTATTGGGGTGACCAGAACGGGTTTTGTTAGAGACACTCGAGTGTTCCCAATAGAAACATAGAAAACAGGAGCAGCTGTGGGACATTTGGCTCTTTGAGCCTGTTCTGCCATTTATTATGATTTATGGTTGATCATCCAACTCAATAGATAGTTCCTGCTTTTCCCCATATCCTTTTGATTCCTTTAGACCCAAGGGTTACATCCAACTTCTTGAAATCATACAACATTTTGGCCTTGACTGCTTTCTGTAGTAGCATATTCCCAAATTCACCACTCTCTCTGGGTAAACAAAAAATCCTCATCTCAGCCTTAAATGGTTCATTCCATATACTTTAGACTGTGACCTCTGGTTTTAGACTGCACCGCAACTGAGAACATCCTTCCAGTATTTACACTGTCGAATCTTATTGTAATTTTATATATTTCCATGAGATCTACCTTCATTCTTCTAAACTCCAATGAAAATAATCCTAATCAATTCAACCCTTCATTATACTTCAGTCCCAGACATTCCGGAATCAGTCCAGTAATCCTTAGCTGCACTCCCTCGCTAGCAAGAACAATTTTCCCAAGGCCCTGTACAATTGCAGCAAGACATGCCTGCTCCTGTATTAAAATCCACTTGTTATGAAGTTCAACATATATGTATTGCACCTTCCTACTTGCCTTCAGCAGCTGGTGCACAAGGACACCTTGGTCTTGTTGCACACTTCCCTCCCGTAATTTATAGCCAGACAATAATCTGCCTTCCTATTTTTCCTACCAAAGTGGATAACCTCACCATTATCCACATTATACTGTATCTGATATGTATTTGCTCAACTTGTCAAAACACTGACGCATGTCTGCATCCTTCTCACACCCAGGTTTGTGTCATCTGCAAATTTGGAGATATTATATTTAGTTCCCTAATTGATATCATTAATATATATTGTGAATAGCTGGTGTCTTAGCACTGATTACTGCAGTATCCCACTAGTCAGTACCTGTATTTTGGCAAAAAAACCTCATTTATTCCTATCTTTTTTGTTTCTTCTCTGCCAACCAGCTTTGTATCCATCTCAATACATTATCTCCAATCCCACGTGTGCTAATTTTGCACACTAATCTCTTCTGCAGGACTTTGTTGAAAGTCTTCTGATAGTACAAATAAACAACATCCATAATGTCCCCTTCATCAATACTACTAGATCCCCAGATTGGAATCTCCATGCCACTGCACAAATTCTGGCATTGATTGGTTGAATTATCATTTGCCATGTCCATGGGTACATACACTTTAGCGTAAGCAGTGAAGGATGTTTATACTTGCGCAGTATCTAGTTTTTGCATATTTATTACACTGATCTTGCGACAATGCTCATAAAATTTGGACTGTGGCAAAGGCTGCTGTTGGTACAACCGTGCCAATGCATTCTTGCATGTCCATCTTACTTAATGTCAGCTTACTTAACTATTTTGGTATTCCCCCTTTGTTTATGATACAGAACTTGTCTAGCTTTGGGTTGAAACTCCTCACGCTGTTGAGCCACTTGTTCAAGTCTGTGCCTTCTGCATTTATACTTCTAGTAACCTCTAGAGTCACAGGTTTTGTATACAGAATAAAGATCTGGGTAATTTCACGGTACATGTATACAGTTGTGCACACATGTTTACTTGGCTTCCCTACATTGGGTATTAATCCATTAGAGGACAAATTACACTTAGCCTGTATTTTCTGTCCACCTGCTAATATAGCTTTGTATCTGCACTTGTTTTATTGTAATGTTTCCACTGTGTAACCTTTGGCCACGAGGTGTCTTTGAAATGCTATCACAAACCCAACCATTCTGTCAGTAGGTTCTGCCAACATGATGTCAAAATCATATGAATCCTTTTTATAAATTAATCAATAGTCTCTATCTTTTATTGGTTAAAAGACATGAATTCCACAAGGAGTGTTCTGAAGTTCAGCTTCAGATTATCAAGTGGTGATCGTATTTTATCAGAACATTTAAGATGATTGTTGTACAGGCTTGATGTGTTTAGACTCTGGTGCATTCATTGCATATAGCAATTTTTAAATTTAATAGCTCATTTATCTGATTCAGAAACTTTGAGATCCAAAAAACCTAACTCCAAAGCCTTAAAAAAAAGTAAAGTCAGATAGGAGATGCAATGCCTTCTAAAGGAATCTTAGAAATGTTGTTGTCATCTTCTGATTGTTTCAGGGATTTTTAACGCTATCTGCAACTTACACCAGCGAGGAAGGCTTTCTGTTCCCGGAGTTGCAGGATCATTATTGGCCACT